TAAATAAACTTAAAAAAAAAGAAAATGGTGTTTATGCTAAAAAACATTGACAGAGTAGGAGCATTAAATCAAAAGCTTTACTTTAGTTGTTCTAAGATACATATTAACATCTATTGATTCCCACATCTAATACATTCCCACATATTAACATCTATTGAAATCGATTCATTTAATAATCAAATATATGCCATAGTTTTAACTTGCAATATTTTTTTTCTTTCTTACACATAAATTATTGGTGTGTCTTATTAATCAATGACATCTTAGATTCAATGAAATACATACAACACATTGTTTGGTAATAACAGACCTTAGTAAGGTCTTACATTTTACATAAAGGTATACTTCTTAAAAATGGAACTGTAAATCTTCATGAAATTCATGATAACAAATAATGTATACTGTATCAATTCTTTCTGCAGATGAATGTGTTTCAGATTTTCACTGAGTTTAAGTTTAGATCTAAAGAGTGAAATCAACAAAACATTTTACCTGCTTGGCGTTTAAAAACTATAGAATTTCTATAGACTACTAATGGTATATGATTAATAATTAAAAATACATAATAAATGTACACCATACATTTTTCAAAGTTTCATGTGCCTAGAAATAATTAATTAATACATTTATATTTTATCCAGACATATCAAATTGTTACTATTTTGAATAAATTCAATCAGGGTCTTGTCACTTTATTAATAACATGGACTGTAAAGTGATAATTCTCAATTTCTGATGATTCATTGTATTTTTCCCTCGGATTTTGTTTGTTCATTTTTTCCTCTATATATTTTGTTATTTAGATATAAATATATCTCTATAGACATGCATATGGACAAACTTACATTTAGTTTTGTTTAAAAAACACATACATACATACATGTGTATATATATATGATATTAGGTAATTAATAAATGTTATTTTCCCTCTTCCTTCTTGGAATTTCAAACTATAGCAAAAAAGGGCACAATATAATTTCAAAATTTAATTATGTTCATTTTCCTTTATGACATGACATCCTTAATTTCTACTTGAATATTTAGATGTTTTCTGCTTTAACTAAAGAGAAAGGCTACTTCTAGCACCTAACATCTAGCATACAGAAAGAATAACTATGGACGGCACAAAAAAGAAGACAGGAAGTTTAATCATGAAGGACTACTACTGATTAAAATTATGGGCCACAAAACATTGTTAAGTATCAAAATCATTCTACCAATATCAGTCCAATAATCTGTAATCTGTAATATGAAGAAGTATCCTAATTGGCAACACATAAACATAATTTAAATGTCAAAACTACAAACCACAAATTTAAAAATGCTTCAATCAAATCATGTGATATTCCTTTTAAATTTTTTAAAAAGTTATTTCAGAGAGAGAGAGAGAGCGAGCAAGCACAGTAGGGGAGCAGAACGAGAGAGAGAGAGAGAGAGAGAGGGAGAGAGAGAGAGAGAGAGAGAGAGAGAATGAGAATATCCTAAGCAGGCTCCATGCTCAGGGCAGAGCCTGTCATGGGGCTTGATCCCGTGACCCCGAGATCATGAGCTGAGCCGAAATCAAGAGTCAGATGCTCAAATGACTGAGCCACCCAGGTGCCCCAATTCATGTGATATTCTACCACACAATCTCAAATCACAAATAGAGCCGTAAGAAAATTCTACTTGAAGTCATAGAATGAATTTATTTTATAATTTAACTTTCTACTGTTACAAAGCCATTAGTTATATTCCTGTGGTTTCAGTGAAGGATTAGTTTGCCATTTCTGTTTTTGATTTAACAAATCAAATTCATCCATTTGGTGCCATTTGATACTTAACCTTTCACTCATTTATCCATTCGACAAAATTCATTCTATTCCATTCATGAAGCATCTATTACGCGCCTACTATTACTAAAAAAAATCTGATATTCTACATGAAAGGGAGCTTGTTAGAACCTGACTGCCAAGATCATGAACAACATTAAAATAGAAAAAGGTTGTTTCCTGCCCTACCTCACTCTTTATTTCACACCTGCCATTTCCATTTCAACTCACACTCTTCCACATAATAGTGTGGGCAACCCTTTCAAACTCCAGGCATATTTCAAACAAAATTTACCCCTCCTAAATGCTACTCTAACTACTTGATAAGCAGAAGAAGCATGCTCATATGAAAACAGCCATTAGTAACCTATTACCCCTCTTAAAAATTAGCAACTGCTTTTGTTTGTCCATTTGATTTTTTTTTAAGTATATGTGCTACTAAATTGAGCACTCTCTGCTCGATTTTTTAACTGGTCTCATTTAACTGGTCTCAGAGCCTTAACAGAGAATCTAGGCAGGTGAGTGAAAGTTTAGGCTTGAAAGAAGGGGCGTGGCTCATGGCCACAGCCTTCTCCCTAAATAGCTACGTGCTATTTATGCTCTCAGAAAACAATAATGGCTAACATTTATTAAATTCCAGGTACTGCTCCATATGCTTTAAATGTTATTAAATTATTTCATTCTCAAAAATAACACAATGAGGCAAATACTATCATTATCCCCTTTTCACACAAGAGGCAACTAAAGCTTGAGAAGTTCAGTATCTGTCCAGGGTCACACTGCTTATAGGTGACAAAACGGGAATTTGTACAAATGTTCCTGGCTCCAAAGTCAAAGAACTTAATCAAATTTGCCCACTGTGCACCAGCCTAACTCACAGAGGTGTGAAGATTAAATGAGACTCTACAAAAGTGCTCTGAAAAGGATACTTTTTTCCTTGTATTAAAAAATTCATCTACAAAAGTAGCAGAAATAATAAAAAGGTTTCAAGCACACTAGCAAGCAAGCAGAAGCAAAACAATGACACGCATGGGTTAAATAAACACCAATTCTGATTATATATCAACCATAACTTACTGTTTACAAATTTAGTTACTCTTAAAGTTTCTATTTCACGCTGCTGGTGGTTAAGCTCCAGCACACATTCCCTTCAACTTCATCTGATACCTATCATTTGATATTACCAACAGCTAATTTTCTCAAACTAATAGAAAAATAAAACTTTTTCAAGCAAATGTTTAATATATCATGAAATACTGTTAATTAAAATTATGCAACTAAACTACTTAAATGATGACTTCACACAGAAATTAAAAACTTGGCAAATTCAAAATTTAAATAGCAGCTTACTGGAAAGCACAGTAGTGAAAATATTTCAGCTGACTAGAACAGGTAAGCTTCCATTTCACTTACATGGCTGCAACTTATAAATTCCTCTATCAAAAGGATGTTTTTATATTCTCAACAAGTTTTTCTCTAGTAACTCCTCAGTGTCTTGCCACGTACTTATCTTTTCAGAACAATTCTCACCTATTTTCTCAAGAATGCTATCTCTAAAAACAATTACTAAATTGAGCAATGCTGTGCAGTATTAAAATCATTTAATAATATATTTCCAACAAAAATATAAATACCCCAGGATAAGTCAAGCATTCTACTGTGATATGTTACTACTCCCTACCACATTACATTTTCCAAAAATCCATGTTTCTCTATTATAATTATTTCCTAATATCCCCTTATGTACATTGCTTTTCTTGAACCAGATTTACTTCTTGTATCTTTTGCCTCTAAAAGATATTATTCCCTCCTAAATTTAAAGTTACTATAACTTTTGAAGTTTCTTTACCAGTTTCTCTTGGTTTGTGCATTATTTTTTGAATGCCCTTCCAAATAGTACCCTCTTTGCCTATGTATCTGTGTAAGTTAAAACTGAAAAACTTTAATTATACTAACTCTTAATGCATTGAACGATTAAATACAGGGTTTCCTATTTAAAACTAGAGAGAATATTGGAAAAATCAGATACTTTCATGCCCAAACCATTAAATATAAAAAGAGTAGAAATTTAACTTTCAAATTTCATTTTAGCTGTCTGCAAATAAAATGCAAAATCACAAATATTAATCACTGCTCTATTACGGCAAGAGAGCCCATGTTATTTAATGGTTGGGATGGAAAGGCATCAAGCCATAACAATATAATTCAGTTTGGTGACTGCATTTAAAATGCCGAGAATCAATGTCTTACAAATTTTTGTCAGTTCTCGGTATCTATACAGTGTATCAGTAATTTCTTACGCAAATGAAGATTTTCATAATAAACAAATTCTTTACCATGTACTCTTTTGTGTGGAAAAAAAGAAAACAGGTTGAACACCTTATCTAAAATTTCACATAAAGCCTTCAAAAATGACCAAATATTTCTGCAAAAATAACTCTAAACTGTTGGCCCTGGGTTATTCTTACCCTTGCATGCAAAAACTTGCATATAATACATATATTAACATTCATTACATTTTATTTTTGAAAATGTATTAGATAAGTCATCAGATAAAAACACTGAGCATTAATGTACCCTCCTAGAGCAATTCCTTGTCCTTATAATTCTCTTGGAGCATTAATCCTCACCTGGCCTCTTTATTACATAAAGTAAATCAGAGAGAAAGTGAGGGAGTAAACCAGGGGGAGCTGAACACTGCTCATCGTTGATTTACGTGGTCTTGGTTTTCCTGCTATTCCATTTAGTCCAAAGTTGTGGGTTTTTGAAAAAATACTGTATTTCACGTTTCCAATCTATAAGGTGCCCAATGAAGTACAACTAAGAGGTAAAGAAACCTGATAAAAATATTTCAGTGCACTTCCTACCAAGGAAGTGAATTTGGAACTGGCACAGCAATGGGTTTGGTTTTGTTTTCCTTTTTCTGTTCTATGTATGCAATGTTCTCCTATTTTAAATTTCTTTTACTAATATTAATATACAGAAAGCTATGTTCAGAGAAGATTAAAACGCAGTAAGTCTTAATTACTCAATTCATTCAAAAAGGAAGTAAGGTACACATAGTATCTAACAACTTAAAACTTCAAAGTAGGAACAAAATACATCACACGCAAATCAAAAGTAAAAGATGAGACAGACTGCACTTTGACAAAAAAATTCAAAGGAATTACATTGATTTCGAAACCAACTTACCCAATTTTTGTCTTCTCTTTCAACTTTGAACAAGTTTTTGTTTTTTTGCTCTCTTTGTCCTTTGGCTTGGATTTCATCCGTCTACCTTTCTTTTCCTCTTTTCCTTCAACTGAAGCACTAGGAAAGTTCTCAGGACTCATTACTCGTGGAATATTGCGTTCCCCACGCTCCTTTGCTTTTGCTATGGCCTCTGATATTATCCGATTAGCCTTTTCTTGCTTGCTTTCTGATTCCACCTTTTTTCTCTGTTTCTTCTCAGACATGATCCTCACCTGGGTATTCTGCAACTTAGTGTATGTCCCAGAACCGTCACTCTTCTTGGAAGATGGAGGCTAGAGAAATCAGAATACTTTTTACACAACATGCCAAAGTACAGCTAAACGATTAACATAAATATTTGAACATTTAAAGTTATGCTCAACGAAGTAAAATACGTGAGCCAACATGTGAGTGCTACAAACAAATGTAAAATTGTAACATTTTGCTGATCTAGAAATTAGTGTTGGTATATAAAAAAGCTCAACTACTGCTTTTAAAAACGGTTAAAGAAGGATAACGTAGATTCACTGATATTTTCACAGCATTCTTGATTAGTTAGCTGATTCAAATTTTGTCCTGTAAATATTCTGTACATTTGAAATAAAAGTCTTTTCTTTCCTTTTCACTCCAGAACTGTGGAATTTATTGATAAATTTAAAACAGCAATTTTGATTTAGAATACTCCTTATAGTTTATAATTATTTTTAGAAATACAAAGCTTCTCTGCTTTACAAGAAATTAGAACTAGAACCCAAAATCATTTAAATCATTTTTTAATGTGCAATCTACGCAGCAACATAGCTAGTTAGTAAACAGACATTCCCATACTTAAAATTAGAGAAAGTTTTAGTTTTTCCGTGAAAGAGTTAAATGTGGATTTTTTTTTCCTCTCTCTATATCATAATTATTTTGCTCAAGCAATTCTGGAAAAAAAAACAAGTTTTACAGTTTTACGTTAAAATTATTAATATTTTAGCAATATCACAGGAAGCAGATCAACAGCATTTAAAAAAGAATATCCTCTTCAAACACGCATTCATCCACATATACTTAGATCACAGTTTTGTTATGTTCTTACCCGTAAACATGCCTCTGACTATAGCAAAGGAAAAAACCACCAGGAATTTCCAAACACATTTTCATGCTGATTCCAGTGTGCTTCACTGGATATCTTTTCTATACCTGCCTCATCAAAGGTTTCATAGCAGTGCTGCAGCACTGGGAAAGGAAGGAGGGTTTAGAACGCTCACTAAAATGCCACCTTAAGGCCTACAGGCTATAACAAATAACCAAGACTCGAGAAAACAGCAACAAGCTCAAGATGGCGATGCAGTACGACTCCCGCAGCAGCAGCCAGTAATAAGGAAGGTTATTCAATCCCATTAGCCTTTTAGCCCAAAGAACCCCTCCTCCTCCCACTCATTCAGGCTTTCACTTACCCTTCCTCTTGGCCTCTTCACTGAAGACATTTTTGGCGTCAGACAAAGGCTTGCCCTCTGCTTTTTCACCACCCCAGGCAGTGCTCAAGAAAAAAGCATTGAAAGAAGATTCCTAAATGGCCTATTTAGCAAGCTGCAACCAAGAGATGCACAACCCTCCACAAACACACATTGTGATTTATCAACACATTTCTGCCTTGGCAAGTTTATATCCACTGTTCATCCTATTTAGATATGAAAAAGGCTATAAACCCCTCCTAAAAAGCTGGGTTTCCTCAATAGCTGTAAGCAGATAGCCAGATTCCAACAAAGCACAGAAAGAAATGAATGCACAAAGCATCAAAATGCATCAGCATGAATATTAGAGATGTCGTTAAAAATACTGACTCCTTCTGCGGAAGTAGGCCAGCAGATGGTGCTACCAGTTATTATTCCATTAGACTCTGCAATTTAACCCCCAATGGACTGTTCTTCCCTCCATGTAACACATTAACTCTCACTCTGCCATTTCCTGCAGTAAAGTTTTAGAAAATATACGTAAAAGCTGATTTTAGAAGAATATCTGAAAACTCAAACTGTGGTGAAATGGCTTTATGCAGCTATCAATATTAAAAAAAAAAGAATCCAATGCAATTTTTACTGGAGAAAAATACTTTTCTCCAGGACACCATAAAATACTGGAACTAGGAGAAGAGCTAAAGACCAGCAAGGGTTAAAGAGCAGGTCACACATAACAAGTGACTTCTCGTTAAGAAATTAGGTGAGTTCTCTTCGGATTCTTCTAACAAAAGCTAACACTGTGATTTTTAAAACAGACAAATGAGGCTATTTTCATTTAAATTCTAAAGAGAAGTTTAAGATTTTGAAAAGAACACACGGAGAGCTGCCTATATGCCCACAGAGAGCAAATAACAACACTTAAATTTTTTCCGTATTTAAACCTGGAAAAATATACTAATGAATATTTCTAACATCAAAAACACATGAAATTCCTGACCTTGACTCCTCATGTTCTATTTTAAATGAACTGCTGAGTTTTTCGGATTAAATTTTGGTTTTAGTCCCTTGCTAAAAATAAATAACAAGTCTTCCTGAATTTCAGCAATACAGCTTCTCTTTCTATAAAAAACTGAGGCTGAAATAATAAGAAATGCCCTTAAGTACCTAAAACAAAATTTTCACTGCTTTAAAATTCAAGTTTACTTCTTTCATTAATACCATTTTTTTTTCAGTCGGTCTTGGCAAGTTATCTAATATGTCTATCAAAGAACAATTTTTGTTTTTTTCCCTTTTAAACCAAAGGTCTCAACACAGAGTAATATTATGTGACTGATCACGAATTAAGACCAACTGGAAGGCAGGGGAGGAAATTAAGGTTTACAGAACCAGGAAAGGCAAGGAGAGGATCTGACTGCCCTGAGGGGTCATCTACACAAAAATCACAATGACCAACAGTAAGGGCTTATTACTTACTGAGTGCTTACTAAGTTCAAGGCACTACTCTAAGCATCTTTCACCTAACAACTAACTTAATCCTAAACAATAGTAGGATAATAGTGATAATGGAAAGGAAAGGAGTAGCAAATGATAGATACATTCTTAGAGCAGTATCGCAAAAAGTAAGAACGACCTGAGAGCAAGAAAGAAAAATCATAATGGTAACAGTAATGGTAAGAGCTAACACTTATTTAATCCTTACTGTGTTCCAGGCACTACTCTTCATATTACACATATAGCAACTCCATTAATCTTCAAAACAACCCTGTAAGCCATGCACTTACAGCTGAGGATACTGAGGCATGAAGAAATAATTCCCTCCAGATCACACGGCTGCTGACTGATAAAGCAGGGATCAAAAGGCAAAGAACTCACTAGGAAAACCATACTCCTAACCACTATATGGTATCATATGTGGTTCAAATATCATAATTTACACAGATTAATCTGAATACAAAGAAACTAAGTGACTTTCTCAAAATTGCAGAGACACTAGTAATAAAGCTAGAATGAAATTAATTTTTCCCAGTGCCCTTTCCAAGACGTAGAGATCAACCAGATATGGGTGGGTGAAGAGCAGGAAGGATCAATGCTTGGCTTCTAGACCAAGGCTAGGTATGAGAAGGTAAAAGAAATAGGAAGTCTAGGCAAGAAAGGATGTGTAGATGTGTGTGGTTAAGTTTAAAAGCTCTAGTAACTGAAAATTTGAGACTGGATCCTCAGAGAGGGTAGGGTTGGAAAAGATGATGTCAATTCTCTCGCTGTTTTCTTTCAATATCCTTAACTTGCTGACACTATCCTCAGAACCTAAGATGATTTCCAAAATATATCACTTCTCCCATTAAAGTTTTTCAACAGATTCTATTCCTTGACTCAAAATCCCAATTGTTTAACAATAAATCTTAACAGTGGACAGTAATAGAGAAGTCCATGGTCATATATTTCTTCTGCTATTAGAATGCAATATTTTAAAATGATATTCCCACAGAACATCAATTACTGAGGTGTTAAGTAACTGAACATTTTTAATGTAGGTCATTTCTCAATTCACACATATACACAAACATACAAAAGGATAGCTGATGTGCTTTTTTTTTTTTTTTTTTTTTTTTTTT